TGTGGTTTTCATTCCCAGTAGAGTCCGTTCTCAGAGCCGACGCCGCGTCAGAGGACGTGTCACACCCGTTTCAGAAATCTCGTATGTTTTACTCACTAATCTGGAGACAATTGTAGCTCCAGTCGTGCTTCAGATTCATTCCCTAGGAGGAAAACTGCTTTTGTTTCAAATCCAAATAAACATTTTATGACATTTCATGTTTAAAAGAATCTTAGAGCTTGTTTTTCTTTTATTTGACATAATAAGTAATAAATAACTGATCTGAATCAATGATTCCTTTAGGTCAGATCAGACTTTTGGAGGTGTGGACCAAAATCTCTGAGATGAACATCCTCATGACACAAGATATAGACATTTCCATTCCATTTCCATTCCATTTATTTGATAAAGCACATTTAAAAGCAGCATGTGAGCTGACCAAAGTGCTGTACAGGGGTTAAAGACATATAAGGTTAAAAGACTAATATAAAAGAATAAAACAGCTAGAGCATAGCACAAAGAACCAAACAAGAGAAGTCAATAAAATCGATAAAATAATAGTCTACATTAACCTAGATAAAATAGCTAGGCAGTAAAAGCAAGGGAATAAAAGTAAGTCTTTAAGTGAGACTTAAAAACCCCAATGGAGGGGGAGAGTCTGATATTCAATGGGAGACCATTCCAGAGTTTCGAAGCGCAGACAGAAAAAGCTCGTTCACCACGGGGTTTGCAGCGTAGACGGGGAATCTGTAGTAGGTGTAGGTCACCTGAACGGAGAGTCCTACCCGGCACATAAGGAATAACTTGGATATGTAAGGTGGTGCTAAGCCATTCAACACCTTAAAAACAAACAATAAAATTTTAAAACGTATACAGTAGTGCACAGGAAGCCAGTGAAGTCTTTTATTTAATTTTTTAATTTTTTATGTGTCCTGTCTGGCTGTGAAGCAAGCAGAATTGATGTCTGAATGCTGGTGACAAGCCTTACAGATTTACTCTCAGGTGGAGCATCAAAGCGTCTGCTTTTAATGTCACGCCTGATACTTAAAACTTTATTGTAATTGCTTTTGAATGCTTTGTAATTCCGACCAGACAGGTGAAAGAGAAAGGAAGAGACAAAAGATGTGTGTGTGTGTGTGTGTGTGTGTGTGTGTGTGTGTGTGTGGGGGGGGGGGGGGGGGGGGGGGGGGGGGGGGTCCACAAAAATAAACAATATTGAACAAGAATCTGCTTCTAGACCTGCAGAAAGAGAGAACAACCCCCCCCCCCCCAAAAAAAGGGACAAAACAACAATACAACAAGATCAAGCTATCACTGTGTTAACTTGATGAAGAATTATATAATCAACATTGTTTAACTGAACAATCACATGATAATAAATCACAGTGCATTAAGTGCCCACCATAGCCTTAAGACCTGTGTTGAACGTGCCCAAGTCCATACTTATGAGAGCACCATGTGAGCACCTGTGTGTGTACACGCGCTTGTTTATGTAAGGTTTCTCTATAGGAGCGTCCAATAGAGAGTGTGAGGGGCCACAGATCCGCCCCCCAAAGATGTGCAGGAGACGGAGGGAGCCCCAAGTCCCAGAGATCCAGGAGTTGCCCCAGAGCACAGAAACTCCAGGGAGACTGCGACCAGAAAAGCCCCCGCTCCCCTCGAGAGGCGCAGAGGATCGCCCCGGAGGGCCACAACCAGCAGCCGGCAGAGTCCAGGGAGATATCGGTGGCAAGCCCACAGGCCCGCCCGCAACCAGTGAAGTCTTGCCAAAATTGGAGTGATGTGCTGCCGACGGCCCGTATTTGTTAGAAATCTTGCTGTCGCATTTTGTATGGCCTGAAGGCGAGATAATGCGGCTTTTGAAATGCCAAACAGAATTGCATTGGAGTAACCTTGAGGTGATGAAAGCATGAATGGTTGTCTTGAGGTGGTGCCGATTCAGAATGGGTTTTAGTTTGGAAAGACGTCTCAGCTGATAAAAACATGATTGAACCATGTGATTAACATGAGGGTCCATTTTTAGAGCCGCATCCATTTTAATTCCAAGATTAACAATTGTTTGACTAATTTTAAAAGGAAGAGCAGAAAACTCAGGAGCGGAGGAAGACGAGCCATTAGGAGGAAAAACAATAAACTCGGTCTTAAAATCATTCAGCAGCAGAAAATTTGCTGCCAGCCAGTCTTTAACTTCACTCAGGCAATCCAAGAGCGGCTGGATGGAGGTAAAAGTCTTCAAGGGAACATAAATCTGGCAGTCGTCCGCATAAAGATGAAAGTTAATGTTGAACTTCCTAAAGATTAGTCACAGTGGAAGAATATAAATGCTAAATAAAAGGGGTCGAGGATAGACCCCTGTGGCACGCCCCAAGGAAGAACCGACCAACTTCTCAAGGCGGGACAATAAAATGTCATGGTCAACCATGTCAAATGCAGCTGAGAGGTCCAACATCACCAGGGCAACATGGGAACCGGAATCAGTGGCTAAAATAATATCATTAAAAACGGATTCTGTGGAGCGGATTCTGTGCTGTGATATTGTCAAACACCAGACTGAAATTTATCCAAGACCCCAAAATTGTCATTTAAATTTATCATTTAAATAAAAAGAGTGAAAAATAAGTTTTCACCTGACCTATGTTGCATTAAACCCAAAAATATTTTAAAGAACAGACAAAGTTTTAGTTTTGATCAAGAATCTGTGAATCTCTCTACGACAGAAATGGTCTCCTACGCTTGTCTCAATAAATAAAAGCATTCCATGTTTTCTAGTCTGTATTTCTGAATAATAATTGTGAGTTCGTTATCAGCAGCAACAGATGACTTGGTCTCTCTTTATTTTATCACGTTTGCTGGATTCAGAGCAACTGTAGCTCAAAGTTCACTTTTTAGTACGTCAGTGAAGGTTTGTGCTCCCAGGGACCCGATTAAAACAAACGCAGAAGACTCAGGTTTGATGTTACAAGTATAACAATTGTTGTTCTGGACCAGGATCTGTCCTATAACTCTCAGATGTCAGTAGGACTGCCTTCAGGAACACTCGCCTCGTAATCGGAAGGTTGCAGGTTTGAGCCCTGCTCAGTCTGTCACTGTCGTTGTGTACTTGGGCAAGACACTTAACCCACCATGCCTGCTGGTGGTGGTTGGAGGGACAGATGGCGCCAGTGCTCGGCAGCCTCTCCTCTGTCAGTGCGCCCCAGGGCAGCTGTGGCTACATCGTAGCTCATCACCACCAGTGTGAGAATGTGTGTGTGAATGGGTGAATGACTGATTGTGTTGTAAAGTGCCTTGGGGGGTATCAGGACTCTAGAAGGAACTATATCAAATACAGGCATTTACCATTTATCAAAGTGAAGCCATCATCTCATTGATTGTTGTAAATCTCTGTTGTCAAGATGTTCTGGAGGTTAGAGGCCTCCAGCTGATCCCAAAAGTTGCTGCCAGAGAGTAAAGGCCTGAGTGTAAGGAGGAAAAATCAGATTTCTCCAGTTTTTAGCTTCACTTAATCAGATCCAGAACTCAGAAAACTCTGAAAGATAAAGATCCTTTCTTCTTGGTGTTCCAGATGCTCCCAACAGAACATCTGGCTCTCCGTGTGCAGCTTTGGTTCCCAGAGTTTCGAAAAGTAGAACAGGAAGCAGAGCTTTCAGTTCTCAGGTTCACGTCTAGTACAAACTTAACTTTTCTAGTTAGGGTTAGCTTGGGTTATCCAGGCTCATCCCTTTATCTGGTTCATTTCGAGATCCTGGTTCTGGTCTATAGGGCCTTACATGGACAAGCATCATCTTACATTGGTTATCTTCTTAGTCCCTACACCCCCAGCAGGCAGGGCCAGATTAACACTTTGTTGTACCCTGGGCAACAATATTCAAGGGCCCCATCATCATGACCCGAGGATCACCATAATATGGTCACATACAGAATATTTTACTGTAATATGTAGTAAATATACTCAATACTTGAATGCCTGACATCACGTAACCCGCTCAGGGCAACCTTTGACCCACCTTGTGTAGACTGACCAATGAGGAGAGGGTCTTAACTTGAGGCTCTCTCTTCTTTGGTCAGTCTGCAAGAGACTGACTCTCAACTGACGTTCAAAGTCATAGGCAGCGAAGCGTCTCTGTGCAGCGCAAAAGCCCGGGTGGACAGTTAGTTTAATATAGGGTGACCATATTTCCATTTCCAAACAAGAGGACAGGGGATCTGTGCCAATGACATCACACTATGGCAATGCCACACAAACCACGTTGGGACCCATTTTTTTGTTTTCATATGTAAATATTTTGCATATGTGGCAAGGTGGATAAACGAGGGCCCGGGCGGGATTCGATCCCCAGACTCCCGGGTGAGAGTCATATGCTCTAACCAGTCAGACAAAGTGACATCCCCTTGGCCAAGTAGCCAGGGCGCATGATCAATCGGGACATTGTGACAGGATGCTCACACTGTCACACATATTTACTGCAAAATCTCATTTTTCTGCTTTTGTGCTGCAACAAGGTTTTATTAATAATAAATTATAACTTTTGTTTTACTACAGCATCGGTACGCTTCCTGTGCACAGATTATTAAGGATGCTTGTTTCAGCTGTGAGATTAGACGATAGGATCAATGAAAAAATAAGTTGTCACACACTCCATGGAAACTTTCAGAGAATCCACAAATAGTGGCTTTCACATGGTTTTGTTACTTTTTGCAAGTTTAGAAAAGCAGCAGATGAGACAGCGTGTCTGATAATTTAGTTTTTCATCTGATAATATTAGAACATGTCAGTAATGTCTGAGGGGCTTTTACAAACAACATATAACTAACACTCCTGGAGAGGGTATGAATTACACAGAGGCTTTTGGGGAGCCCAGTTATGGGGGGTGGGGGGTCATTTTGCCTTGGACCCCAAAATGTCTTGAAACGGCCCTGGGTGTGTGACTGAGTTTTGAAGGTGGTCTGAATTGTATCAGATGTATAAATATTACAGGTGTGTAACTTATTATTTTATACAGGTAAAAACGTGTAGTGGAGATAAATCTACATTTTACTTTTCAACACTTTGTTTTGTTTTCTTGTTTTTATTTAACTATTTTCTGTCCTGTCTGTCTCTCATCTTCCTGCATCTCCTCTAAACTCTCCAGAAAAACTGTTGCCTGGATTCTTACTTTTTCACCTCATCAGTTACTTTTGAGCAGATCAAAGGGATCTCCTGACCGCAAAGCGGAGAGCGCGTTTCGATGCTGCATCAGTGAGGTGAAATCACCGCAGCACAGGTGAAGAGCTCCGCAGTAGCAGAGCGCTTCAGGCACAAATAAGACAGAAAATAGAGAACATGTGTGGACATGAAGGATCGTGTGCTAATTATAGTTTTTTGGTTGCGCCACTTTGAGAATGGACCATGCACTGGACGCAACAGCCTGGAGCGCTGCGCAAGAACGCGCTGTGCCGCTCTCTGCTCAAAAGAGTCCAAAAATGATGTAATATAGGTAAAAAACTTTTTTCCGGCTCTCCCTGGATGTGTAGGATATCCAGCTCCACCATAATTCGATCCCTGCTCCTGGATGAAAAGCCGGACATTTTCATCAATACAAGAACCCCCAGTCCGGACGCCCGGACAGAGTGAAAAGTGGACATGTCCAGGGAAACCGGACGTACGGTCACCCTAGTTTAATATAAAGCGGGAGATTACAGATAGGCCTACAGTATTTTGCTTGTGCTCTTGCTGCCCTGGGCCCTTTAGAGATTGTGGGCCCTGGGCAATTGCCCAGTTGCCCATATGGTTAATCCGGCCTTGCCAGCAGGTCCCTGAGGTCCAGTGATCAAAACCTACTGGTTGTGCAGCACCAGGCTAAAGACCAAAGGTGACAGATCATCTGCTGCTGTGGCCCCCAGACTCTGGACCTCTCTCCCCCTGAGCCTGAGATCAGTGGACTCAGTGGTCTCCTTTAAAAAGCAGCTGAAGACTCACTTGTTCAAGCTGGCTTTTGTATGACCTTCTTCACCACTCTCTCTTTATTCTGCTCTCCCCACCTATTCCACCTTCCTCAGATCCACTGATTTCCCTCTTTCCTGTTCACTCTCTCTCTTTCTTAACATTTTTTAATCGCAATTGTCTATTTTTGCTCATTTTAAATATATTTTTAAACATTTTCTAAATGCTTTTTTATATTTTTACATTTTTTTGTTTTGTGAAGCGCCTCACGATTTTATCTTGAGAGGCGCTATAGAAATGATATTTTCTTCTTCTTCTTTAGTTATGCTACTATAGGAGGACTACACGTCCTCCCTCTGAGGCTTTAACCTCCACGTTTGTCTTCACTGCTGTTGAACTTTGTTCTTCCTGTTTGTCCTCCGTAGAGACGACGACTGGTCCTGTCCTGTCTGTCTCTGTCCTGTCTTCTCAGACCAAAGGTAGCAGAGGGCTGGTTCTGGTCCTCCTGTAGGTTTGATCCTGTTAATAGAACATTTTCATTTACACCGTCACTCTCCCTGCTGAGGATGGAGACGGTGTTCAGGTGAAGATTAGGTTTGACCCACCTGTAAGCTTACTGACTACAGGTATTTGGTTTGAGTCTAACGTGGATCTACCTTTTAGTTTTGCTGGTTCCTCTGTTGTTTAGGTTGCTCTGGCAACAAACATTAACCGGTTTTGGGGTTTTGACATCAGGAAACAGCTTTTGAAATGCGTGCAGATGACTGTCTCCTGTTTTTATTGTTTATAACAGAGCTGCTCTGTCTTTTCTGAAAAATTCTCTGAAACCAGAATCCAGTTTCTGTCAGAGGAATTGTTTTATTTAGCGTTTCTTTGTTAATGGGCCACTGCAAACACAGAGGCATCCTTGGCACCGGTAAGTCTAGACTACAGTCCCACTCTGCTTCCCCCCCCCCCCCCCCCCCCCCCCCCCCCCCCCCCCGTCCTGCTTACCTGCCAAATCCAGCTGAGAGGGCTTTAATATTTATTGGGGAGTGTGGATCTGCATATCGGCACACAGAATTAGGCCTGGGTGTTAAGTTTGACGCATACTCGTCCATTTTATATGCAAGCAGCAAACACAAAGCCCATTATACTCACTTGAGTCTGTCATCAGGGCCAAGCTAATAAACTCTCTGGGCGTTACGGGGTCGGGATGAAAGGGCCGCACTGCAGCACTGATTATTCCTCATTACATGTAAGCAAACACGATTAGGGATCATGTGGTGGTGGTGGTGGTGGGGGTGGTGGTGGGGGTGGGGGTGGGGGGACGTCCACCTGAATAAAGGTTAACAGGAGTTCTGAATGAGACCAGAAAGAAAATTCACAAACATTTTACTTTTCATCAAACAGGAATGGTTGGTCTGGTCTCCCAGCCAGCTGTTGAGCTCGAGCATCTCCATTATATCTGGCTTTGATGCTCTCCGTAATTAAGCAGCAGCTTTCCTCGTTTTAGTGCTGTGGTGCAAAGTTGTGGAGGAATAGTCGACACCTCCGACCTGTTGGTTCCCCCTCCACTGAGGAGCAGGAGGCAAATGCGACGCGGTGGATTGTGGGAAAGCTCGGAGCTCGGCTTCACGATGCAGGTGTAGAAAAAACTCACTAAAGACCAGAACAGAAAAAACGTCTCAAACTAAACGTAGCTGAGAGCTAAATAAACATTTGTGTGGGACATCAGGAAACAAAGGGATGACTTGGGTTTTATTAATACATCTTTGTGCGTTGCTCATAAGCGTACTTCCTGACGAAAGCTGACCCTTTTTCTGTGCTGGTTCTGAGACCCGAGGCCGACTCCTGTCCACACAACCGGAGGTGCAAACTCTTCACACCTCCCAGCTCTCCCGGCACACTTCTTTTAATTCTGCTACACCCAGCAGGAACCCAGTGACAAGAGATAAAACTACAATGATGAAAAAAGTTAATTAACTTGGCACAAAAATTCAGGAGATTTGTGTTTGATCGTTTCTTTGTTGAAGCTATGCTCCTCACGACCTTACAGAGCCTGATAAGTTACCTTCACCTGTAACGTGCATCCAAGCAGCACTGAACAGGCCCCTGCCGTGTCCTGCTGCTGATATTTACTCTTGTTCTGACGTTTGATGATCAGTTTTCTCTGCAGGACAAATTGGTCTCTTTTATACGGTTCCTCTCCAGCAGCATGTAGAGCCGCATTCTGCTCGGTAGCTCTGACCACGGCTGAAGGAGCTTCACAGGCTCTGTTTCCCACTGAAGGTGACTAGTGATACCGACCAAAGACACATTTTCATACTTTTTAGTTTACACACAGCAGGGTTGGCTGCATAGGTGCTCCTCGTTGGCTCAGCTCAGCTCCTCTGTGGTCCAGCAGGCCCAAACGGCTCATGCCCACCAAATGCAGAAGCGTGTGGGAGCTGTGTGGTTTACGACTCTCACGAATGCTCAGGTCACACTTTGTCCTGAAGCGTGCCGGTTTCCCATGAGATCCCCTGGTCTAGGTGTCACCCCTGCTCCCAGAGCTTCTCAGACCCAGAGGTGACCATCAGGGGTGATATCTCACACCTCCCACCACATATATGGAGCAGCCTCCTTACTCCTTCTCATTATCCTGCTCACACCGTTCCTGCAGCACACTTACAGCTCTCTAGACTTGACCACAGACCGGCAGATGAAGATGTCCTACTGCTCTCCACTCCAGCTCCAGGAGAGCTCTCTGATGTTTGATTGTGAGTCTCCTATGAAGAAATCTGAGACTCACAATCCATCTTCTGATCCTGGTTATGCCAGCGCCAGCAGCAGCCTGTCTCCCACATCCTCGGTGGACTCCTTCTGCTTCTCTCCCTCTTCCCTTCACCAGGCTTTAGGAAATGAACAAGATGCCTTGAGCAGCTTCTTCTTCTGCTGTTCAGAGGAACCTCCTCCTGCTCAGCAGACTCTACGCTCCTCCAGATCCACCTCTGCACCAGCAGTTCCATTAAAGAAGTCCAGGTCCAGGTATCCTGGTGACAAACGCCAGACTGCCAGTGAGAGGGAGAAGCTGAGGATGAGGGATCTGACCAGAGCTCTGAAACATCTCAGAACATACCTTCCACCCTCTGTGGCTCCACCGGGACAGAACCTAACCAAGATCGAGACGCTGCACCTCACCATCCGATACATCTCCTACCTGTCTGAGCAGCTGGGCCTCAGCGAGGAGGTGCTGCAGCAGAGGAGGTCATTTGGCTATGTGGAGAAGGTCCAAACCCTCAACCAGTTCCTGGGTCACCAACCGTCAGGAAGCTACAGTTCACAGGAGCTCAGAGATGACTCTGTGAACGCTGAGCAGCATTCCTATCAGGTATGTTTATGGTCCCCTTTAATAGAACCTGTATTTCTGTTATTTTCACTCTAAATGTGGTTCTACTGTTTATCTGAATCAAACCTGTTTTCTGCTGTCAGGTTCCAAGCGGGTGTTACCTGAGCAGAGATCCATCCTGGCTGCTTCAGGAACAACCAGAACCTGTCATCTTCAGAGGACAGTGTTAAAGAACAGTCCAGTCTCAAACCAGTCCACGATCTTTCCCACAAAACGAAACCTTAAGTTAATATATGAGCCGAACTCTACAAAAGTGTCATTTTATCTGCTGTGTGGTCTTTCCTTCGTGTATATAGAGCTGTGTATTTATTAACTGTTGACTAAACAGAATAAACACTATTTATCCTTCAACCTGTCCTGTTTGCTCATCCTCCACACGACGCTGCAGCTGTCAGCAGGACGTGCTAACCAGGCAGCTGAAAGACCCCCGCTGGGAGGGGTGACAGCTGACCTGCTGCCAGCGGTCACCTCCACTTCCTGTGTGAACCGGTCAGGGCGACTCTAGAACAGGGAGTTTCATCGTTTCGTTTAATCTTTTACCTCAAAAAACAGCAATACAAGTTTGTGTTTTGATATTTTGTTTATTTGGGACAATCAAGGGTTTTATGTAATGTAAGAATGTAATATTAGACACATTTAGTCAATTATTCTCAGATTTAATTTCTGTTTTTAGTTCACACTTGAGTGAGAAAGTGGGACTGAAGCGTGCTTTATACAAGCTGCAGGTATAAAGGTCAACTACGTGAATCACTGAGAGTTTGGGGAACCATAAGATAAGATCAATAAGAAAATAAGCTGAATAACATTTTAAATGCTGAAAAAGTGAAAGAGAAATAATAGCATGAACACTTTAAAAATAATAGTAAGAGTAGCTAAGGAGTCATTTATTATGTTTTTGTTTTTGTTTAGTTAGGCCATGCATCCACAAACCTTACACCTAATATCTTGTATTAAACGTATTTTTTAATTATTAACCATGAATTTATTAATTAATTTAATGAAAAAGTTTTAATTTCATTTCAGCTCATACTTAACACAACACACCGAGTTATTTTACAATAATGTAAAATCTCCTCTTCTAAAGCAGTGGTTCCCAACCACAGTGTCATGTTTGGAGGAAGGTACTTAACCCAAGACATGCAGAATACAACACTGACCAAAAACTGATGAAAAAATGATTTATTTATAAGGAGGAACTTAAGGTGCACAGATAAGTCTGTGGTTGGAACTGCAACAACAGCTCAGCGTCTGGAGGAGGGAGAACACAGGTGAGCTTAGGTTCTGGTTTCACAATCCATTGTAGGCAGGCAGAGGTGTTCAGCAGACTTACTGTGGGGGGTGTATGGGTTGGCTGGAGGAGGGAGAGGTAGAGAGCCGGGGGAAGCGCAGGAGAGGGAGCAGAGGTGGAGAGAAGCGGGGCGTCCTGGTGGATGGGGCACTGGGTGAGATGAGAGGTGGGTTATGGAGGGTGGTGATAAGGTCCGTGTGCTGAATATCCGAATCCTGGAGTAGAGGTCAGTATCCAAGGAGGTCGACAGGAATCCTGAGGAAGGGTAAATCCAGTATAAGAGCAAAAAACTACGAATAACATTTATCCTAAGAACACTAGAGGTAACACGAGTGGCTGGTTACTACCAAAACGGAGGCAATCTTCCGGCGTCGAAGTGTGTCCACCATCCACCTTAAATAGGAAGGCACCCCGCTGATTGCTGATCAGGAACAGCTGGGCCACTCCCTCTCCTGGCAAGAGACTCACAGATGGTTATGAGAACAGGAGTACTCACCCCGGCTCATGACACACAGGTTCGTAACCCCCTACGGGATCCCCACAAGATTGCAGGGGGTCCCCACAATTTATTCTGTGCTGAGGTTGTGAAATTACCGAGGTTCTATTTGTGAAAAATTACATTCACAATATCCCAATAAGACAACTAAAAGCATAATCTCAACTATGTCTGCGTAAAGTCTGTAATTACCAGAGGGAAGCCCTGCTCTAAAGCGTCTTTGTACTGTTCGTACTTGAAGATCAAAGGTCTTTTAGAAAAGGGTTTATTTGTTATTTTAATGAAATTGTGCTACATAGTACAACATTGGTGTGTTTCTAATTGCATCATGGCCTTTGGGCATGAAAAGTGTGAGAAGGTGCTTTATAAACAAATGATGAAGATAGCAAAAACAAATATCACAACGTGGTAACAGCACACTTTGTCCTGAAGCGTGCCGGTTTCCCATGAGATCCCCTGGTCTAGGTGTCACCCCTGCTCCCAGAGCCTCTCAGACCCAGAGGTGACCAACAGGGGTGATATCTCACACCTCCCACCACATATATGGAGCAGCCTCCTTGCTCCTCATTATCCTGCTCACACCGTTCCTGCAGCACACGTCGCAGAGACCTGGGTGTATTTTGGGTATAGGAACAATTTTACACATTGTGTCGCATTTACAATTTTGCACTTGTATGTAGAGATGTTCCTAAATGCAAGACCAGCTCAGACCGTGCATACGAACAGCATCTAGTAGTAGAACGGGCAATCCACCACACTGAAGGTCTCAGTCATCCACTCGACTTCCTCATCCAGAAAATATTTTTACCAATAAGTAATTTTGTCTGTGGAGAAACAGCTTGATCACATAACATAACTGGTGTTATAACCTATAAAAGACACCTGTGGTCAGTAAGAATCTGACATTGCAGCCTGGCTGATCTGGTGTTATTGGAGGATTTGGCAGAGCGTGCCCTCTGGAGGGAACGGGTCTGCTTGGATCTGCACCGATCTGCTTGGTAAGAATCCAGAGGGGCTCCTGAGCAGATACCACTTCCCGAAGGAGATCCTTCTGGAGCTGTGCTGGGATTTGGGACCATTTGTAGAGTGATGGATAAACCACACAACTTCGATTCCAGTCTATCTTCAGTCATTGACAACTTAAGGATCTCTTGCCACTGGGACTTCAATCTGTGGGTCTAGCCACGCTCCATAGGAGCCTCAGCAAGCCAGACCAGTGTTGGGTCTTGCCAATCACAGTGCTCTATTGGTTTGGTGAGCGGGATGTTACGGGAAACTGAGACGGTGATGACTCGTTTGAAATGACTTTGGCATCCACTTTGAACAACGTAGACTTGGGCTTTTCTTTGAGTCAGAAGCAGATGCAGGGGTCACCAACTCCAGTCCTCAAGGGCTACTGTCCTGCACATGTTAGCTGTTTCTTTGCTCCTACACACCTGATTTAAATGAGTGAGTAATTAACAGAACTATGCAGAGGTAAACATAGTAAGGAGAGGATTAAATTTCTCCATTCATGTGTGGTGGAGCAGAAAACACAGAAAACCAGGAGGAGGTAGCCCTCAAGGACTGGAGTTGGTGACACCTGAGTTACTTAAGTCCTTTATTTAGAAAAATGGTGTGTCTGAGTCTTCTTCAACAGTGCCTGCCCTGCTGACTGGCATCCGTAGCAGTGAGTATGTCATGTTGTCCATTGTGCAATGGCATGTGGACACAGTTTGAAAGACAATCGTAGACTGAGCTCTGTCTGTGAGTTGTGTCAGACTATATATTCACAAATATAAGAGGGCTTTCCAGGCTAGGCTGATCTAGGACTGTGTAAATAAGCTGTTATGCTGTAGAGACCAGGGAAGAGATTAAAGAAAAATCTAAGTCATAAAAGATTACCTCTCTGTCAGATAATCAAATTTAAGCTTTTTATAAAAGCTACTTACTATCATCACTTCAAGTAAGCCAAATGAGTCAATTAACAATCCTATCAAATGTATAGAAACACAGCTTATCACGTTGTATGTAGTGTTTCCTGTTGTTATATAATATCATAGACGATATACAAATCACTTTAGTCTAAAATCAATAGTTATCGAATAATCTTTATCCATTAAGGATCTGACCAAAACTAGGAATGATGCCATTTAGATTCGGGTCATTCAGGTTTTATTACAAATGTATTTAATAAGAAGATGTACAGGACAATCCTCGGAAAGATGTGGAGTTGGCTCTCAACTTTCATTAAACATAGAGTAACAGAGACCAACGTGACATCAACCGTGGTAAGTAAAGTTATTTTTCTGTGAAGGTTTAAGAAATGTGTTTCATCACAGGATTCATAGAAAGACTTTATATTTATTTTTTCTTTTAATGTTGAATAACAAACAGCTTCAATAAAATAAGTATATGTTAATTTTATTTTATTTATTTTAAAGGTTGAGGAGGATTCACAATCAGAGGCAGATCTCCTCCAGTCTGCTTCCCCACTCTCCCCTGTCCCAACGCCGTCTCCTTCATCCAGTTCATCTGAATTCAGCACAATATTCCCCAGCACCCTCCAAGACTATGGAACTAGGATTGGGACAATATTCAGCCAGGAGTCTTTGGTGCAGGACAGACCCTTCAAAAGTTTTCTGGCCTCTGAGTCACTAGTAGCTTTTTTATAAAAGCTCCACACAAAGTCCCACTCTTTCCTCCTGCTGCAATTGCCTGGCAGTAAATTGTGGACTTCAGGTTTGGACTGATGCTGAAAGGTTTCAAAAGTGACCGGAGGAAAAAAAATCACCAGGGTCCAAATAAGAATATTTAGTGAATGCATGAAACACAAGAACAGCTCCTCTTATCAGGTTTTTACCTGTGGTTTAAAGGGTTTTTCATCCACTCCTTGAACTAACCAGTTACCTGTTTTCTGCAGCCTTCCACTCCTGAATTACAAGCCAGCGAGACTGTGTTAACTATATTGTATCTGAACAGGGACAACACGAAGGTGAGGAGAAAGCTGCAAATAACCGAATAAGATCACAACATTTTTAAAGTTTGATTTGATTTAAATGGGAGAAACTCTGCTGAACTCTTCCATGACAGTTTTGTCCCGACTCCTTAAGCTGGGTTTGTTGTGCTTGCTGAGGAAACTGGCTACCCCACAACAACTCTAACAGACGCTCTTAACAATGCTCTCAATCAGCAGGTTAAAAAGGCAAAGTATTATGTTGGAGGTCTTTGTTCTCCTTTTATTCTGAGCCAGGAGGTAGGGACAGCTGGTCCAGGAGAGACGCCTGTGTCCCTCTCCTCAGCAACACACCAGCTCCTTCTGGGATCCCAAGGCCTTCTCAGGTCAGAGTATAAAATCCATCCAGTCACTTTTGGTTCTACCTAAAGATTTCCTCGCATTAGGAAGTGACCTGAAAACCCCTTCAGTTTTATTTTCCTGATCTCTTCACCTTATCTTTAAGGCTGAATCCACCTCTCCAACTAAGCTTATTTAGGCCTCTGGTTCTTTTAGCCATGACCCAAATTCAACTCACACAGGAAACAAGATCGGCTTACTGACAAAACTTGAAAGACAGCTGTTGCTTGTTGTACATGAACCGGAAGAAAGGGGGCGTAAATGTTAAATGGCCTGAATTTGATATAACGCCTTCTAGGGATCTACAACCCCTCAAGGTCCTTTACAACACAACTCATCCATGCACACACACATTAATATACTGCTGGTGATGAGCTACAGTGTAGCCACAGCTGCCCTTGCACACACTGACCAAAGTGAGGCTGCCGAACACAGGTGCTACTGGTTCCTCCAACAACCCACAGGAGAGGTGGGTTAAGTGTCTTGTCCATGGACACAACGACTGTGACAAATAGGGCTCAAGCCTGCAACCCTTCAGTGATAGGCCAGGCTCTTAACTCCTCTGTCACCATCGCCCTCACGGTTATTGGTGCGAGCAGGGGGAGTTTAGTGC